TAATTAATTTTCCTAGCCTATACTGTAAAGTAATTTTACCCAAGAAACAAACATAAAATCATTTAATATCTAATTAATATGCAAGTAAGATTTAAGTAAGTGATGATCTATATTTGCCTTATATCACAGCTTATACCAACACATTTTTTTCAAGGAAAAATAGACATAAATTAAGTTTCTGGAAAGGAGTTTTAAGTTTCCCCACAAAAAGGAATACGAATACGATTTAAAACTGTTCTTAACATCACAAATTTTACGATATAGTGCTTTAAAAGTTAGTTAATACACAGTAAATAGCTGGAGAACGTTTAGAATAAACAGAGGGCCGTCCATTCAATGTTTCGTCAGATATAATACGGTTCTTTACACAACCCGCAATAACACCAAATTTTACAGCTATCGAAAAACTATGAACCTAATAGTTACAGAAGCGCAAATCCTGTAAAACGTCGTAATAGTTTGTTTCGAAGTTATAAACGCATGTAAACAAAATTCTGATATCCAAAGAAAATATAGATTTCAAGACAAAACGGGTATTTATATTGATTTGTTGGATCAGTGGTAAGTTTTCTGACTCACAAAGGTAAAATCTGGGGTGCAGATAGCCCATTGTGTAGCTTTGCATTAAGAAGCAATGATATTTTAGCTTATCGATTTTTGTTAATAATTCTAAAATAAGTACGTAACGACAGAAATTAATTCCAACAATTTAAGCCATTATATCAGGTACTATTTGAAATATTTAGCTTGGGTTATTTATGTGCATTTATTGGTGCTTCTGCAGTACCTTCTTTAACCTATCGAAGACTCTGAAAGTTTAGAGGAAAAACATCCCTAAATACAAAACTTTTTATTGACTGATTTATCAATCTACACACACACACGTATATAGACATATATATGCTTGAGCGAAAAAAAACCTAAATTCAGTTTTAGCTCAAACAGTGGGTGATATCTCGTAAACACAGTAAAATAATGTCACACTCTGTTTCGCAACACACGAATAGAAGGATGCAGTATCAGTAATGAAAGCCAAGTTGTTTCATTTTACTGTGTTAAGCGATTTCGATTGAATTTCACGTATTTTAATGAGTTACATGAACCCAAGACATTTGCACTATAATCGTTGAAAACTAGACCTTTAAACATTTAACTGGAAGCAACTCATATAGGAAAGAAATATCAGATCAGGATATAGCTAATATTACACGTTATCAATTAGGTTAGATGGAAATAGAAAGTATGTAAACCATAAAGGATGATAATGCGTGAGAAAGAGCTGGCGGAAGAAACAGTGACACCAAATGATAATCTTAAGTCTGAGCTGTGCAATAGGAAATGAATTTTGGGATCGAGAGTGACCGCGTGAAGGGGGGGAGAGCATTATTTTTATTTTTGTAATCAATATCCTTTCTCATTCACCGCTGTTATGGCATGCTTTCAAAAATAAATAGTTATTTTAGAAGTAAGAAGAAGTGGGTAACTGCCTCTGCTAAGAAGACGCGGGTTGATGTCATTGTTTCGTACAGGTGACGCGAGGATAAGTATACATTGTACAATTTCCGAGAAATATACCGAGGATCCGCTGGCTGTGTTGCAAGTGCTCGTTGATTCAGCATCCACTACTGAACTCGGTGTTTACTTTTTGGAGTTGCTTCCCTAGGCAAGGGATGACAAATACAGGTTATTTTGAAATCCCTTTCCAAGCACATTTCACCCTTGTGACAATCAAACTCTGTAAAAGCTTGGACACTGAACTTTCTTCTTTACATCGTATCACTAAGAAAGAATACTTACATCATTTATACCACTAAGAAAGAATACTTACATCATTTATACCACTAAGAAAAGGAATATTTACATCATTCATACCACTAAAAAAGGAATATTTACATCATTCATACCACTAAGAAAAGGAATATTTACATCATTTATACCACTAAGAAAAGGAATATTTACATCATTCATACCACTAAGAAAAGTAATATTTACATCATTCATACCACTAAGAAAAGGAATATTTACATCATTCATACCACTAAGAAGGGGAATATTTACATCATTCATACAACTAAGAAAAGGAATATTTATATCATCCATACAACTAAGAAAAGGAATATTTACTTCATTCATACAACTAAGAAAAGGAATATTTATATCATTCATACCACTAAGAAAAGGAATATCAATTTACATCATTCATACAACTACGAAAAGGAATATTTATATCATTCATACCACTAAGAAAAGGAATATTTACTTCATTCATACAACTAAGAAAAGGAATATTTATATCATTCATAGAACTAAGAAAAGGAATATTTATATCATTCATAGAACTAAGAAAAGGAATATTTACATCATTCATACCACTAAGAAAGGGAATATTTACATCATTCGTACAACTATGAAAATGAATATTTACATCATTCATACCATTAAGAAAAGGAATATTTACATCATTCATACCACTAAGAAAAGGAATGTTTACATCATTCATACAACTAAGAAAAGGAATATTTATATCATTCATACAACTAAGAAAAGGAATATTTACATCATTCATACCACTAAGAAAGGGAATATTTACATCATTCATACAACTAAGAAAAGGAATATTTACATCATTCATACAACTAAGAAAAGGAATATTTATATCATTCATACCACTAAGAAAAGGAATATTTACACAATTCATACAACTAAGAAAAGGAATACTTACATCATTTTTTATCGTTAGTTGACAAAGATTGGAGGTATTAACTTTTTGAAATATTCAGGAAAACTTCAAATGGCTCTAAAACCAAAAGTAGCCAAAACTGGTAAATACCATTTTGCAGAGCAGTTCTAGAGGCGGATAGTGTTTAGAAGAACGCAAAACATTTACCGGTGTTAATTTCGGAAAAGTGTTATAATAAACATGCATATTTTATAAGGAGGAACCTATTTAAGCATAAAAGACAATACAATACTTTTGTTTTTTATTTTCCTTTTATTTTGTTTTGGTTACAAAACTAACGATATGATTGTTATATATATATATATATCATATGAACCCTATACCATATACTATCATTTAAATATGCCGGTTCTTTTGTTTATTATAAAGAAATTTAAAACATCATGAGGGTGGTACAGATACTCGTTAGATCATTATAAATTAAAATGATTATTTCAGATGAAACTTTACGTGCTTTTTATGTATTCATTATAACAAAGCTATTATAATCCTTCAGATACTTTAATATTAAACCTTCCTGCCTGCATTAGATACGCTGGGTAATAGGGCGAATTTACGTTATTATTGCTTCATATAAATAGTTTCTCCCTCACTTCTAGCCCGTCTAAAAAATCAAACAACTTTCTGGTAGTGTTGTTTCTTTTCTTTGATACAGAGATAAGACTACAGGTTTCGTAAGGGTTCATTTTACGTGCTTGCGTGATGCGTTTTCGAAGCAGATAAAAGTTGTGACATCATGCGGCCGATCCAAGTGGTCTAAAAGGACTAATTATGAACACCCTGCTTGGCAGGATAACGGCTCATCTTATTGCTGAAATAAATCACTCGGTGTGATAGGGATGGTGGAGGAGACAGCATTACAGTAATCCCACATACTTCCTCCATGTTAGTTTGCATTTTTAAAACATTTTCCCATAAAATGAATATTGGTTCTATTTTTTAACTTACGACAAATCACATTACATGAAAGATTCAAGAAATCCTACTCCAAATTCATATAGCTTGAACGGTCACCAATACGCATCTGAATGAAGATGCAAATGACTTTCATAACTTTACTCTTTTATGAATCAAATATGTAGTTTGTTTCCTATTTAGTGAATAATAACAGGAAGTTAAGTTAGGTAATGTTATGTTATGTTAAGTTAGGCTAGGATAGGTTAGGTAAGGTTATTTTAAGTTAGGCTAGGCTACGTTAGGTTAGCTAAAGTTATGTTATGTTAAGTTAGGCTAGGCTAGATTAGGTAAGGTTATGTTATGTTAAGTTAGGCTAGGATAGGTTAGGTTAGGTAAGGTTATTTTAAGTTAGGCTAAGCTACGTTAGGTTAGCTAAAGTTATGTTATGTTAAGTAAGGCTAGGCTAGATTAGGTAAGGTTACTCTTATACGAACTTGTACTTTAATTAACAGTAAAAAATAAAGTTTAATTTTACATTTAGAGGCAAATAAAGTAAAAATAATCAACGATGGGTTTTATATTTCTAGTACTACTTTGGAAAACAAATAAACCACATGGTTGTTTAGGTGTTGTATGGTCTTATGAAGGGTTGCTGATGAAAGAAACTCTGTATAAAAAATAAATTTTAATTTTACATTTAGTGGCAAATAAAGCAAAAATAATCAACGATGGGTTTTATATTTCTAGTACTACTTTGAAAAACAAATCGACCACATGGCTGTTTAGGTGTTGTATGGTCTTATGAAGGGTTGCTGATGAAAGAAACTCTGTATAAAAAATAAATTTTAATTTTACATTTAGGGACAAATAAAACAAATATTATCAACTGTATAACGATGGCTTTATATTCCTAGTATTACTTTGGACAACAAAATCCTTACAACATTTTTAGCCGAAAATCATAGAGAATAATCTAGCGTTTTCTTGTAACCCGAACCGCCTTATTTTCCTTTTTTTTTTCTTCTTCTTCTTTTTCCCCTCTCTGCCGTCGTAGTTCCAACGTAATAACACGAAATGATTGCACCTTTTACTGGAGAATCCAATTTAGACACGCCTGACCTGTATGTCAATAAGTTGCTACCCGATACCGTATACCAATACTTAAGATACTGCTTTAGAGAAGAGGCAGACAGTGAGATGATAGTAAGATATTTCGGATAAGAAGAAGTTAGGCTTCTTAGAACGTTACCATTTAGGCTCACTGTTAGTTTTGATTATGAAGACGACTGGCATTTCAAAGCGTGTTATTTGATCTGTTGTGAATGCTCCTGTAATGTGAACTTTAGCCGTAACAGAAGCGTGCAGGATGTGAAGAAAGTTGCGATGATGGGCGTCTGACGCCTCCTTCCTTGTCTTCAAATCAGAAACAAATCGTGAGCATGCGCAACTAGTGAAACACATACAACGGCGTTTTGCCAGTGAAACACCGACATATCTGTCTCGCCGCATGCTGTAGATAGTGTCAGATGTTTTCGTATAAGAGCCAGAGGAATACATGGAACACAATCCAAAACTGTTGTTTTATTGCATAGTGTAACTTGACTTTCTATTCAGAATGTCGAACTTCACGTAAGAATTGGCGGTTTTAATAGGCCAGCTGTTCTGTACCGCAGGTAAGTCTAACCAACTGTGTGAAAGAAAAATCGAAATCCATTCACTCAATGTTCCCTCTTACTAACAACGAATAATAAAAGGTGCATAACTATTTTCTGTGTTTGGTAGACGTAGAGAGAATTTGAAAATCTTAAACATGTTGTAAAAATCGTAAAAGGGAGGAAAGGTATTATATAATTTTAGCTAGGCTTAAGTTAGTAGCTGTAGTTAGGGTCATGCAACGAAATGACAGAAAATAGAGCACTGGTGAAAACTAATAGTTGTTTATATATGTAAGTCTCATTACGAAATGAAGTCACTAATTATGCTGGTTTTGTATGTTAAATGACGGTATTTTTGAAACCTGTTTAGATGCGATTGATAATGCATTATATGCCTACCAATACCATGTAATCGTTACGGTACTGGTGCTTCAAAAAATACTGTATTTAAAAACTGTTCCCGACAGGTGATCATTTATAGCATTCATTCCAGATGAGTTAATTAAAATATCGGTTGGTTGTTAATCATGATATTTTAGTGCAATTATACATGTAGGATATACATTCATGTTTAAACATGCAGAACTTCTCGTAAAAATATATTTGACGGGGAAATAATTATTTCACACACACACATATATATATATATATAAAGAGGGAGAGGGAAACAGACAAATAGGTAAAAATAATTGTAAGCAAGCTTCGAATATCTTAAATTAAACTATATTAAAAGACTCGAACGTTTGAACATGTAATTGTGAGAATTTATTTGAACAGGTGACAGTAAAGATCTGTCACCTATTTGTATATTAGTAAAAATCTGGTCACCTATTTATATATTAGTAAAGATCTGGTCACCTATTTGTATATTAGTAAAGATCTGTCACCTATTTGTATATTAGTAAAGATCTGGTCACCAATTTATATATTAGTAAAGATATTAATATACAAATAGGTGACCAGATTTTTACTAATATACAAATAGGTGACAGATCTTTACTAATATATAAATAGGTGACCAGATCTTTACTAATATACAAGTAGGTGACAATATCTTTACTAATATATAAATTGGTGACCAGATCTTTACTAATATACAAATAGGTGACCAGATCTTTACTAATATATAAATTGGTGACCAGATCTTTACTAATATACAAATAGGTGACCAGATCTTTACTAATATACAAATAGGTGACCAGATATTTACTAATATACAAATAGGTAACCAGATCTTTACTAATATACAAATTGGTGACCAGATCTTTACTAATATATAAATTGGTGACCAGATATTTATTAATATAGAAATAGGTGACCAGATCATTACTAATATACAACTAGGTGACCATACCTTTACTAATATAGAAATAGGTGACCAGATCATTACTAATATACAACTAGGAGACCATACCTTTACTAATATATAAATATGTGTCAATATATTTACTAATATACAAATAGGTGACCAGATTTTTACTAATATACAAATAGGTGACCAGATATTTATTAATATATAAATAGGTGTCGATATATTTACTAAGATACAAATAGGTAACCAGATCTTTACTAATATACAAATAGGTAACCAGATCTTTCCTAATATATAAAATGGTGACCAGATCTTTACTAATATACAAATAGGTGACCAGATCTTTACTGATATAGAAATAGGTGACCAGATCTTTACTGATATAG